GTTCAGACACATTGTTGTTGCCTGTGAACACGGCTTGCCTGTCCATTTTGATGAGTCCTTTTTCCGTCCATAATCGGAAGCCACAGCTGGCTTTTCTCTCCGTTTCTTGCATTTCCCTCCACATCCCAGAATGGCAACATTTATGGCCAGGGGCCCAGAAAATGAGCTGCCTGGATCTCTTGTTTTCCATTTTACAACATGTCTAATAAATAAAAGTGTCTCTGAAATCAGTAAGAATCACAGTCTTCCTGCTAATTATTGGCCTATATTAATCTTACCCCATTTTTTCTATTCAACTGCTCCCTGAGAGGATTGGATAGAATAGAAATGCCCTTTTCCTTATTGGTCAGTTCCTTATCAGTCAGTAAGGAGGTGGACTTTAGCTTTCTATAAAGGTAGGGTGGTTAGATTCATCTTACAGAGAGAATTAGGAAAATTCCAGGGCTCATGGCAACTAAACAGAATTTTCAGAAGGGGCAAATAATAAGGGAATATTACTTTTACAAATGTTAAACCTTGAGGAGAACAGTTTAGGACTAAATACCAACAGATTCATTCCACTTTCTCTCTTTCACATACATGTGCGTGAATGCCAAGGGGCAGCCACCTCTCGTCTTAAGCAGGAGGTAATTTTTTGATGTTGCTTTGAATGGAATGTTCCTAGGGTATTCTCATGGCTATTTTATATAAGGATCAAAAAGTGATTATTTTATTATTTACTTATTTATTCATTGTTACATTATTTTCTCCTTAATCTCTTACTTCATCGACCAATGTCTGGCTACTTTGAGATCTTAGGGAAGTCATAGAAAGATTCCAAACATTATCCCTTATTCTTCTTCAACTAGATTTGGTTTTCAAGTAAACATACACTTAGGTTGACGATACTCTCTTTGTAAAATACACTAATCGATCCACAGGTTAAGTGATTAGCTTCCTATTAACCTAATTTCTATCAACTGGTGCCTCAATATTTTATTTGGAAAGTAGTTAATAAGTTACAGTTATAAGTCACAGTTTTGCTATCTTGTGACTATGTAACTATTATGGTCACAGTATTCCCAACAGTGGTCTCCCCTGCTGCCCACATTGCCCTGAAATGGGCCCAAAACCCTAGTTGCTCAATACTGGTCTATAACCAGTATCTAGGTGCCACCCAGGAGAGCCCAGCCTTGCTGAAAATATTCAGATTTGGGTAAGAAGTGATGGAGGAGTAGGTTACTGGTGTACACTCAGCCCATGAATCTGTGCATTTTGAGTTATCTATTTCAAAATTGAAAACACTGTCTGTAGTTAGGGAGAAGAGTTTTCCAAACCTCTCTTATTAGAAAATTTGCTTATTATAAAATCTCAAAAAACCCTTAAGGAGTAAGAAAATTCCAGTTTTTGATAGACTATTTGGACCCTTTCTCAGGTTCTCCAACCAGTACTACCTCCCTGATATGAAGCAAAGTGACTTCCATACAGATCATTGCCCCACTCGAGCTCTTGATAGAGAAGGTCAAAGGTCTGGACCGTTATTACATTGATCACACCATATTTATGAAAACTGATGTCTTCTCCAAACATCTGCTTAGAGCATTAATCATTGCATACTCTGCTCTAGTGTTAAGGCAAATGACCGTTTCCTGGGAAATCGCATGGCAGTGGGATGGGGGTGCTTCTTGTCCTGCTGATGGAGCCAATCCTAGTACTTTTTGCTCTGGGTCTCTTGTTCGCTCACTGTCAAAAGCTGTTTAGAATGAAATATCAAGTCACAGGCAGGTCATTTTATCTCGAGTGAATCATTTGAGGAATTGAAGTGCTGGTCAGCTGTACTTTATTGACTTTGCAAGGAAAAGAGAAGAAAAACCTCAAAAATGTCAAGTCCTTCGAGGAATGGTGGCATTCAAGGAAGAAAATTCCATGCAGCTTGGAGAGAACAAATTTCTCTAGAGACACAGCAGAAATTCTAGTAGGCTTTTTTAAAAAAGCCTTATATGGGGCACCTGGGTGGCTCAGTTGGTTAAACATCTGCCTTTGGCTCAGGTCATGATCCCAGGGTCCTGGGAAGGATCGAGCCCCGCATCGGGCTCTCTGCTTGGCGGGGAGCCTGCTTCTCCCTTTCCCTGTAGCTCCCCCTGCTTGTGCTCGCTCTCTCGCTCTCTGTCAACTAAGTAAATAAAATCCTTTTAAAAAAGGCTTATAGTTTCTTGGGAATATAAGTACTCTACAAAATAAAGGGGAGGGGATCCAAAATATATGCAATTTGCTACAGTCATTCACTATTTTTATCAGATTGAAGGAAGGAAAGGAAACGAAGAAGAATGGAAATTGTGAAAAGATCATTGCCAGCACTTACTAAACACTTATCAGGGGCTAGGCATTGTGATAAGCACTTTACATTGATTTTATCATTTATTCTTCATAACATCTCTAAGAGGTAGGGTTTGTGATTATGCTCATTTTACTTATGAGAAAATATGCCGAGAGCTTAAGTAATTTCCCCAAGGTCACACAGTTAATGTGGCAAAGCTAGGTCTTTAGGATCACAATATCCAAATTAGTTCTTATTGAGAGTCAATCTGGTGCAGCAGAAAAAGCCTTTGGGACAAGCTCTGACCAAAAAGTATGTGTTGGGATGATTTGGGGATCATTTGATTTTCTGTTGTACCTAGAGCCTTGAGATGTACCCATTGATGTTTACATGGGATTTCTGGTGGCAAATATTTTCCCCTGTCTTGTTAAATCAGTCAGTTGGTGTGGCTGAGGCCATGGGTTTGCTCTTGCATGAGTAGTTACGTCTTCTCTGTAGCCAGTTATTTTGCTAAGCCATGATCTCAGTCACAAAGAAGCAGGATGAGAAAAAGTAGACAGAACTGTGCAAGATGAGAGGTACAAGATTAGATTTGGGGAAAACAATGTATAGTATACCACTGTGATGAAACCATTACCTGAGGGCTAAGTGCACCTTCAGAAGTTATATCCATTGGTGCTGGGCTGAGGAGTAAATTGAACATCATTTCTCCCTGCCCCCTTCCTCTTGCAGCTCCTTCATTCCCTCTCTTCTTGACTCCATTTCTCATATCAGCTACAGGCACAAGCAATGACCTAGAACTTTACAACTTTCTGTGTAGAGGCAGAAGGCAGCTGTGAACCTAGGAGGTGGCATGGAAAAGAGAGATGGTTCTGTTTCATCCTGGTCATTACCACTAACCAAAGTGTAGGCTTAGGTGGAACAGATTGCAAGTCCCTCATTAGCCATTTCAGTCCCTTACACGTGTGATCCGGCACCATGAAGCCGCTTCTCTGAAAATGAAGGACAGTAGTACTCAGAGATATCATCCCAGGAATTCAGCTGAGGCTGGACATGGACTGCATGTGTAGAAATGGGCCTGTCTGACTCAAAAAGTTGCCCTGGCTACTTTGGGTTGCTCACTCCCTGTTGAATTGAGATGATTTTTTTTTTGCCCTAGTGAGGCAGCCCTGCCCCACAGCAAGAGTCAAGTAGTTCAAGGTTTGACTCCATGTCAGTCCCAGACTGACAGCCAGAAGGCAGTGTCTAACTGGTTAGTGTTGGTGAGTGACTCCCATCTTTGCTCCCACCCCATTCCACCCCTGGTTAAATTCTGTTGCTAGAGACAAGCAACTCTGAGCATAAATATCATTAGTATCTTGAATAGGAAGCGGGATGGGAGAAGCAGTCAGAGGATGGTGGAAAGGGTACAGATTTTAGAGCCAGATAGACCTGGTTTCCTTTCCTTCTTTCTTTTTTTTTTATTTTTTTTATTCTTTTTTTAAGATTTTATTTATTTAATTGACAGAGAGAGAGAGACAGCGAGAAAGGGAACACAAGCAGGGGGAGTTGGAGAGCTGGTTTCCTTTCTTTAATTAGTCAACCAAAGCAGTGTTGTAAAATCTTTATCACAGTGCTTTCTTTGTTGTTGCTCCAGAGGTTTCTGTTTGTTTGCTTTTTTAACTCTGTAAAACAAATGTTTATTTCCCACCATCAAGAGAGGTCTACACAAAGATCTTGTAACCAGAGAATATGGATAATTACCAATAGCTGTGGACAAGACAGGCAGAGCATCAAGGATAGATGCATGACAATAGACTATATCACCAGGGCCTAGTGTTTGGGGTTGTACATAGACACAGGGGGAAAAAAAAAAAAAGACACAACCCATGTCCTTTTTTGTGGAGATTGTGCTGTTTAAATTCATTTTTTAAATGTTTCTTAGCTTAGTGATCAATTCCACAAGCCTGGAAAATACCTTCACTCACTATATCCATTCCATTTCATTTGTTCACGAGCTCACTCATTTCATTTATTTATTCAGCCAATATTCACTACCTTCAAAGCACGGTGGCTGGGTACTCTGCTTTTGTAGGGGTTCTTTACAGAGGATGAACAGGATTTCCAAAAGGACCTGATTTTAATACCACAGGAAGAATAGCCACAGGAGAGGAAAGGCTAACTCCAGTATTACTCTGGCCTCTTTTCGGCACCTTCCTCAATTCCAGATGTAAGGAATGAAAATCAGTTCACAAACTTGCTCTGAAAAATCATGAGTCTATCCAAATTTTCGGGAATCAGAGTCTCTAGAGGACCAAAAATTCCAAAGATCTTATGACCGGAGAATAACCTCAAGAGACGGTCAACTCCAGTTTCACTTGGATTTGCCTTTTCTTCCCGTTCCCTCTCCGACCGTGGAGGCCAGGTGCCCTGGATGGCCACGCGGTCGGTGCCTGTCCTGAGGGGCTGTACTTTTGCTGCAGCAAGTTCTCTCCATAAAAGAGAATGGTGCTTGTTTTCAGAGAAAAGCATGTTTTGCAAACTGTTTGCTCTTGGGAAAGCAGACGGGAAAAGTTGTGAGCAGAGAAGAGTGGGGAACTGGTACAGATAAGGAGGAAAGAGGGGACTAGAGTTGAGGCAATGTCAACTCGCCCTTCCCAACACCTCTCCCCACGGTGCCCGCATCTCACCTTCCTTTTCTCCTGCCCCTTGGGTTTCTGTCTAGGCATCTCCAAGGTAGTGATGGCTCTCCAGAGGACCCGTTCCCTGCTTCTGCTCTTGCTGCTGACCCTGCTGGGGCTGGGGCTGGTGCAGCCCTCCTATGGCCAGGATCGCATGTATCAACGATTCCTGCGGCAGCACGTGGACCCTGAGGAGACAGGTGGCAATGACACCTACTGCAACTTGATGATGCAAAGACGGAAGATGGTGCGTCAGTGCAAGCGCTTCAACACCTTCATCCACGAAGACATCTGGAACATTCGTAGTATCTGCAGTACCACCAATATCCAGTGCAAGAATGGCAAGATGAACTGCCATGAGGGTGTAGTGAAGGTCACAGACTGCAGGGAGACAGGAAGTTCCAGGGCCCCCAACTGCAGATACCGGGCATCGGCGAGCACTAGGCATGTGGTCATCGCCTGTGAGGGTGACCCGCAGTTGCCTGTGCACTTGGACAGATAGACACCAGCTTGCGGGGCTTATGGCTGGTGGTTGGCCTTTAACTTACTCCTTGAATAGCAGTAAGTAATGCATTTGAGCTGCCCCAGGCTCTGTCTCCTCTATTTCTGACTCTTTTCCTCTTTATAACCCATTCTGTTAAGCACATTGTATCAAAGAGAAATGGAAACATAAACTTACAATGAGTCTGCGCTTTTCTGTAGTAAACTTTTTGGCTTTCTTTTATAATACTGGTCAGTTTAGCTCTCTCAGATCCTATCCTCTGGAATTTAGTCATTATATGGATTTATATAGCATTTCAAGCATTTCAAAGTATTTCCATTTAAATCATGTCATTTTAATAGCACAGCAATTGTGCGATGTTGCTGATGTTGTTATATGTAGGAGCCCAAAGTTCAGGGACTTGCTGAAAACCATGAAATTAGTGGAAAAGCTGATACAGAAATCCAGTTGAACTGGCTCCTAATCCAGGCATTTTCCCACTTCATCACAAGGAGCGTTTTGAAAGTAACTGCTTTTGGTTATTCCCAAAAGTCAGCTGTTGGGAGAAGCGTTAGAAATTTGGAAATGCATGCTGGCAAAATGAGAGCTTGGTCTGGATAATCTGGCTCCCTTGTTGTGCTGGGGTCTAACGGCATCAAGAAATGATACAAGAGATTTACTTTTTCTCTTCCCAGACTTTTGAATTACTCTAGTAAGTCAGAATATTAAAAATGTTCTAGATCATTTAAGACTCATTCACTCTTCCTGACGGAAACATCTTTCATGTTTTCTTTGTAATAAAGACCTTAAACTGCAGGTATCTGAGAAGTTGTGCTAAGGTTCTTGTGGGGGTATTTTTTTCCTCCTACCCTCTTTCAATTCTTCAGTTTATAAGCACGCACACACCTTAATATCCTCATACACTCTGGTCAAAGACTAATGCCCACCAGATCCATGACCATGACATGGAAGCCCTTGTCTCATTTACTCCAGAGGGAATGAACCCTCTCAATGCTCACACCCTTCCCTTCTCCCTTTGACTATTTTAAACAAACTGGGGAACAGAGATGTATGCAGATGCTGGCTGCTAAGGAAAGGAAGTGTGTGTGTGTGTGTGTGTGTGTGTGTGTGTGTGTGTAAGGACTAAACTGAAATCATTTGAGTTACAGCAGATACAGAAAGAAATCTTTTTTTAAAAATTGATTTGGTATACATATACATTGTGAAATTATCCCCACAATCATGCTAACAAATCCATCACTTCACATAGGTATCCCTTTGTGTGTGGTAAGAACACATAGGATTTATCATGTTAGCAAATTTCAAGTTTATAGTACTGTATTGCCACCTGTTAAAAAAATTTTACTGAGTAAATTTTTAAAAAATAACCTTTTTTAAAAAAGCTTATATATTTTTAGTAATTTCTACACCCAACGTGGGGCTCAAAACTGCAACCCAAGATCAAGAGTCACACACTCCCTGACTGACCCAGCCAGGCAGCCCTTAACTGAGTAAATTTTTAAGATCTTATTGGCTTTACTCAGTGAATCATGGATCAGGCAGCATCCAATCTAGTGGAGAGAAAGGAGCCCCAGGGCAGGAGAAAACAGGAACAAGGATGTTATGCTAGGAAAAAAAGCAGGTCAGTTATCGCAAAGTTACTTTCTTTTAGGGAATGGCAGGGATCTATCAGGCAGATTAACTAGTGCTGAACAAGCAGGTCCTGATTTCTGGCAGAGCCCAAACTGTAGTTAAGTCTCAATTTGGTGATGTGGGGCTTAGCAGAAGCAACTCCATTTTGAGTTTTAACATACTTACAGTCACTGTGCTATACATCAGATCTCCAGAACTTGACCAACATTTCCCTGTTTCCTCTACTTCCCAAGCCCCTAGTAACCACCACTGTACTCTGCTTCTATGAGTCTGACTATTGCAGATTCCACATATAAGTGAGATCATACAGTATCTGTCTTTCTGTGTCTGGTTTATTTCACTCAACATAATGTCCACCAGCTCCATCCATGTTGTCAAAAATCACAGGATTTCCTCTCAAGTCTGAATAACATTCCATTGTCTGTTTATACCATATCTTCTTTATCCATTCACCGTCACTAACCATCAGGGAAATGCAAATCAAAACTGCAATGAGATATCACCACACATCTGATAGAGGATGGCTATCATTAAAAAAAAAAAAAGATAAGAAGTGGTGTAAGTGTTAAGTGCCTGACAATAAGCTTTTGATCGCCAAGACATCCGTTTCAAAGACATCCATCTCAAATACATACATTCCTAGCTGTACAGCTAGATAAGGAGCGATGGCATCCCACCCATGAAATTGCCCCTTTAGCCCTGGGTGACCCTAGATAACTGACCATTTGTGTGACCCTGCTTTTCCTTTCCCATGCTTTCATTCCCACGCTTATGTTTTAAATTCGCCAATAAAAAGTGAAACCTCAAAATCCTGGGCATCCCGCCTTTGACTCCAATAAAGGCAGAGCCCCAAGTGTGTGCACTCTTTCTCTACACAAGACCTCGCTGTGTGGCTTTGGGTGTGCCATGTACCTTCCAGAATATATGAGGCTTATTAGCCTCATTTTTTTCAAAGCTCCCTGAGGGTTGTTGCTGAGGTGTATCTTGCAATCATCATAAGAGCCACAGGGTCAGTCCAGCCACGAGATTGGCTCTGGATGGGAAAATGTCTGTGGGGGCTGACCTCAAATAGTGCGGGCAGTGTACATGCCTGCAGGCATCCCTCGTTGATGGCATCACTATCTGATAGCTGAGACCAACACAAGAGTGAGGATATGCAGAAAAGAGAACCCTGGTACACTATTGGTGGGAATGTCAACTGGTGCAGCCATTATGGAAAACAGTATGGAGATTCCTCGAAAAATTAAACATAGAACTACTAGGGGATCTGGGCAGCTCAGTCAGTTAAGATCTGACTTGACTTCAGGTCAAGTCATGATCTCCCCGCTCAGTGGAGTCTGCTCAGTATTTTCTCTCTCTCTCTCTCATCCCCTCTTCTCCCCAATAAATAAATCAATCTTGTAAAAAAATTGAACTACCATAGGAACCAGCAATCCCACATCTGGGTGTTTATACAAAGGAATTGAAATCAAGATCTCAACCCCTATGTTCACTGCGGCATTGTTCACAGTAGCAAGATAGGGAAA